TTGTTTTGACAACATTTATAGAAAATATTTTCTGCGAAAATATTTTCTATATCGCATAGAAAATATAATCAAAAGAGGGATCAATTCAATAAATGAAACTCTTTGAAATGTCGATATTCGATTTAGACGTAAGCTGGATAATGACGTTGAACTTTTTAATGTACATCTGATGTGTGATATCTGATACTGCTATCAGTATTTTTCTTTCGACCGTATTCACTCCTACGCGGTATCTCTCATATTTTCCCCTATTCGTATCCCCGCGTTTTCCCGGGTTTCCATCGATTTTGCGGTTAATTTAAATAAATGTATCTCTCTCTCACGTAGTAACCGGCGAGATGACGTACGTTGATAAATAGCCCTACGTCATTGCCGTCGACTATAACCGGCAAATTCCGCAACTTCCTGCGATAATCCGACGAAGCTGCGAGCGGAATACTTTAATTACGTAAGGTCGGGACGTAGAAACCACGCTCTCTGAAAACTTGCTTTGAAAAGTTTGGACTGTTTGAACGGGGATATGACTGATGACGAAACTCGCGAAATACTTTCGGAATCAATGGGATTCCCAGGATTTTCTTTGCGGGGAATATTAATTATTGTTACGTGTGTTAAGTATCGAGGAAAGATAATTATTCATTACCCGAGAAGTCCTTGAGCGGCGAGGAAAATTAAAGTGTTTTGAGATCCATCTTCTCGGCGCTAATTAGCCTCATCGCGTTTGTCCTCGAGTATTGTTTGTCCCCGTACAGGATGTGTCAGAAATCGCAAACATATTCTCGGCTATAGATTTCTCGATAAACTCAAAATCTACATCTTCTTTCTTAGCAAAAATAAAAAATGACTAATAATCATATCTTTTTTTTTTCAGAAGCTAAAGTAATTATGTTAATTTTATACAAATACTGGTTAAAAATATTTCTAAAAATTTATATTAACTGGAAATTATATTTCGGATTATAAAAAAAAAATTAAACTGTTAATTTATATCAAAAGAGGGAAGATCAACTAACTCCACGTTCGAATAAAACGTGAAACCTGTGAGCCTCGTAGTTTGTCGGTAAAAAGGATCACAGTGATATCACATTGCGATAACGACATTGCGAATATATATACGAGTTGCTGCATCTGTCTCGTAGACATCGCAAGTGATGAGAGATAAATGTCTCAAGAAATGTCGAAATCGAGTTGGACAATTAATCGTGTCATTTTGGTGCAAAGTAACTGCTGATAACTAGTTACGAAATTACGGAAATTGAATTCGTGTCTGCCACGGTAACGACTGTAAAACGCAATTACGACCTTCGCCATTGGGTGGCAAGTTGTCGACACCCTAGCATTCTGCTTCTCGTTTCCTGTGCAATCTACCGAGGGGGTGGACACCAGTTTCGGCGCGTCAGGTAACCGGAAATATCTGTCTGGCGTGCAAATTTCAGCACACACATAACAAGAAATACCGAGAAAGGCAATAACGGGAAATGGTTGAACTTACGGTTAATTTAAGAGGAAAACTTGTTATATAAAATGCAAAACGACAATGCATTTATAAAATAATTATTAAAAAAAAAAAAAATCTTTAACGTTGAGTCAGAAGAGTGGTATCGAGCAAATTCAATAAACACGCAAAACTACGCAACAGAATACAAATAAAAACAGAGAAATCAAAAAGAATTTAAAAAAAAAGTAGCATACTTACCATTTTCCGGAAACGATGTCGATCGTATCACGGGCAGCAATATCCCTTTCTGCACCAGTTCATCTCTGCTGGCACGTACCGAGATTTTTCTCTCGAGCGCTATTAACAAAGACAAAGAAAACGAACGCGAACGTCATTTACGCTGTTTGCTCCGTTATCTGCACGGCGCCGTTTAAATATTTTTCACAGTATGATATTGCACATCGTAAAACAAGTTCAGCATAATAATTTTAAAAAAACGTAAAAATAATTGAAATGCGTTAAATATCGTTCCTTCGTGCAAAATGCAAACATTTTACTTAAACGCATATATTAATATAATTACATTCAATAACTTTAAAATGCAAATATTCTTCTTAACAAAATAACATCAATCGTAAAAATAAATAGGACAAAACCATTAAGATTTTTTTGTTATTAAAAATGAAAAATACATTTCGCGTTTAAATTCGTCAATTTTTATATCGTAAATTTACTCACACAGAGAAGCGGCCTCAAATTTATCCGATTTCTTTTTCCGCTTCCATTTCCATGGTTTAAAGAGTCTACCGAGGGCAGAAAATTTACTTTTCCTTTCCAAGGGCGGTGTCCTCGCACCTGAACCCAAACTATTTGTTCGCAGAGCGGCACCATTTTGTTTTTTCGCTGCAAGAAAAGAATAATGTCATATTAATTTGTACTATAGTTTTTTGTTATGTTTACGAAAAATAAAATAAATTCTTAATAAGATTTTTGACCATTCGTCAAAAAAATAAAGCTCTTCCATATAAAAACATTTTATATTATGTATTATATTAGTATTTCCATTAAAATACTAATATAATACAAGAAAATTTATGTTACTATTGTCAAAAATAATTACTTAAATAAATGAATAAATTTTCAAGTTTATTCACGTATGATACAAACTATCAGCATTCTGCTTAATGTAAAATTATCAACTCGAGATATGTTATCTAGATTTTCCGCTTTTCCAGTGAAACATACCAAGTTTCCTATGTTACCCACGTTTACCGACCAGGGATGTGGGGTTTTCCAACAACCCTCTTATCGGCGTTCGCAAGGGTGGAAACGAGCATCATCCGCTGCACGATATATTCGCGAATTATGTTCACGTGATAATGTATTTTAGTATTTGTATATCTCGATCTACAATCTCAATATTGCGATCTATATTGCGATCAAAAAATAAAAATATATGAAAAGTTTGATGAAATGAAATGTTCATATTAAAAATATTCTTCCACTCTTAAGTTTAACTATCTAATTTTGGTAGTTAACTTTTTTACTGCCAGAGAGCAATGCAACTCATGATACCATAAAAATCAGTATTCGACAACTCCATGGATAATTTAACAAATTTCTGCAATATCCCGAAACCCAATCACGTCAAAGTAAAAAACAAAATACCACGGTAAATACAGTTGGTAGAAAGTCAAAAGAAAAAATTTATTGATGTTAAAATTCATCGTAAACTGGTTACTCGCGCCAGACATGTTTGCGAAATCAATATTGCAGCGAACATAATTAGATATTGACGAGAAAGTAAATATAGACACAACAGATAAATATATTGATGTTTCGCAAGTTAAGTGAAACATAAGAAAACAATCAGTTTAACAGATTTTAACAGAATTGATAAAATATTAAAAAGTAATATAAGGAGCGAAATTTTTATGAATATCTTTTCAATTATTATTTCAATCATATAAACGCAAATAAAATTAAATGCATTTTCAACGGTAAATAATTTACTACTAAAGAAAAAATATCTACAAGCAAAAATAAGAATAAATAAATATATATATTTAATTATAAGTAATGAAATTAGCTAAATCTATATCGCAAATCTAAGCTCGAGATTTAAGAATAAGACGTTCATCTTACACTCGATTCTATCCTTAGCATCGCTGAGATCATAGAAGAAGAAAGAGTCCTTTTAAAAGAGACCGTTCTCTGAATGCATCCTTTCAACCTGCACTTATCAGCCATCTACTACCTTCCTGTTTGCAACACCCTTCGTACGTAATATAGCAGTCACTATCTTGCGTCGAGAGATACTTTTCTACGCAAGAACAATTGCCACAAACGTGAGGAGAACTACATCATCTTTTACAATGCACCAAATAAACAAAACTCGCAAAAGAGAGAAGCAAAGAAACTTTTATTGCGCATAAGCGTAAACTAATATCTTATTTTTAAAAGTTTTAGAACATAATAAATATATTTACATAACATTTAGCAACTTTAATAAAATATTGCGGCGGACCTCTGAAAAAGATTATCTGCAATATGCAGTTAATTTTATCGAAAAGGAGATTTTAAATAGCTTTAAAAAATATTTTTCATGCAAATTTTATTAAGTGACGTATTACTCGCGCTTGAATATTCGCGTTACTAACGTAAGAAGATTAATAGTTTCAAAATCTACTTGAGGAAAAAGATCTAAAATATCGTCGAGGAGAGGAAATTCTCCCGTATGTGCGGTCGTAAACAATCCCATGTCGTCCTATTCGCGTCGACACCCACCCTATGGTGCATAATGCAAAACCCCCGTATATCTCAGGAAGTTACGGAGCGGAGATGGTGGCGAGGGTGAAATGTGACGGAAAGAAAGTGCGTCGTGTGTGGCTGAACGTTGTCAAACGGCAATTCCGAGGAACTCCCCCGTGGGGAATAATGGCCGATAACGTGCGGTAGGGCAGTTTTGGCGGGGTGTAAGGTAGAGGCGACCGATTACAGCAGCCTTAAGCGCTCCTCGGGGACGCTCTCATGATTCCCGTAGCGTCTTGGCGAGCACACCGTTCTTAAGCAAAGTGACTTTAGCCACCACGACGGGCGACGTATATCAACGTCGTTTAAATAGCGATCGCTTAATTAGACGCCGGTTTGCCAGAAGCAAAACCGGCGTCTCTCCCTATGGCGAGAAGTTGCGGTGAAGTAAGCATTGGAGCAATTCTTCGACCAGAATAGTACACGCCATATAATAAATTAAGAAGTCAAAATGTTGCTTTAGATTAGAAAATTGGAAAGTTATATATATAATCAGAAGATCAAGCAAGACTTATCAACAAGCAATACCGAGCAATTTATCATTAAATAATAATTATGATGCTGATACGTAAAAAAATATGAAAACAAGATTAATGTCGTTAGCTTTAAGATTGAAACAAAATATAAATGTTTGTAATTCTAAGTATCATTTTTAATCATTTTTAATTAAAATTTTTTCAAATTAAAATTATTTATATTATTTCAATAATACATAATTTAAACAACGATGCAAAGATCCTAAATGACAGATGAAAGTTTTGTTCGTGAAATGAAATATGGGAGCGAGTTTCGCTCTATCTTTCGTAGAATTTTCTCTTCTCTCGCAAAAGGAAAAAAGTATGCACGTGGCCTCGATGTCAAAGTGGAATAATTGACGTCACAAAGCACTTCCGCTGTTCCGGGGAACCTATTCACGCGCATCGAAGATCGTCGAGGGCTGTTGCACCACATCCACCGTTTGCAGACAATGGCAATATTAACGCAATAGATCGCACTCGTCATTGTTCGAGATCGTACGGATCTTAGACAAGAATCATATCTTACTCTTGCTGTACCACGCGAAGATGTAAAAAAAGTCTAATCGCATGACAAGAACTTTTGATCGGTTCAAATATAGCACCAGTAATGCTTGGAAAAACTGCCGAGTGTAATAAGAAAAAAAAGAAGGAAAAAGAATTTAAATTTCTTACGGCGATAAGAATCTTCTTTACAAGCTTGTTTCAGTTAATAGAGCTTTAAAAATTTAAATTAAAAGATCGTTGTACTTCATTGAATTACACTTTGCATTGTAAATTGAAAGTTAAAATCCTCTCGAAAAGAAGTTTTTAGTAGCTTATAAGTGAATAATCTGATAAGTTTCTCAAATACTCTATTCAAGATACTAAATCTTATTAAACAATATGATTATAATTTGACCTAATTAATCTTTATGACAAAGTACATTGGATGGGTCTGAAAAGCGTTGATCAATAATGAACTGTTCACAAGCTATTGTCAGCGAGTGTTAATCACGTTACACGAGATTTTGTAATTCGAGCGATTAATGCGCAAATGAGGTGTAACACAGACATCGGTGCACGGATACTTGCGGTTATTTAATCAAGGTTCAATGGTAGAGATCATGTAAAAGGGATTTAACGAAAGCCACGAGAGTAGATCTCTAGTTTGAATTTCGGCCACGGTCGTTAGTCGCTGGTCGTCGTTATCACGCGAGCCACACGGTCGCCACAAAATGTATCGCACGTAATAATATTAAATCTATTAAAAATGAATTATGAACATTTGTAAAGCTACAGACAATTTTAGTACGGTGAGAAGCTCACCGTGCTAAATTAAAGTGTCTAAATTTCATTATTTATCACTGAAAAAGTTATTATTTATCTGAAAAACTTTATTATTTATCACTTTTATTACTCTGAAAAACATTTGTAACTATTTTTATTCACGAATATTATTTTAAATTGACTTTTTATATTTGTTCAACAAGCGTGTAGCTTACGTGGTACATCACGCCTATTAAATGTTATATTTCATGGATCGAGCGCAAATTAATGGCAGAAAACTACGTTCGGAAGTATGGGGATCCAGACGTAATCGTTGCCTTTCACCATAACAAAGCAGAGCTGATAGAAGATACGCGGGTCCATCGTCCGTTCGACAGGCGCTAATAACGAGTTGGACGAGTAAAACTCAATTCGGAACTAGACACGTTGGCAAATCGCTCGCACAGAGGAAGGAATTAATTATTATCATTAAAACAGGGACCGAGGGGAAGAGCGAGCGTAACACATCGCCTAATCGAGTTGCGGCATCGACGCGGCGGCCGGACAAATGAACTCGAATACCGGTTGTTGAGTGCCGCAGAGACGCACGCAGCCACTCGACCAGCGGCTAGAACTGGATATTGCTGCTATTGCTTCGACGCAACAGGCGCATCCAATGCAACAATAAACACGCGTCATTGTCAACGGGTCTTGGACCGTGCCGGACAATCCCGCGATCGACTGACAATAAGTAGTTCGCCGGACTGAACAAAGCGACGGGAATCTCCTGAAGACTTAAACACTCGCTGTCCATGATTCCCATCTCTCACTCGTAAAATCGTTACAACGATTCCTATATAAACACGTAAGACAAAGTGATAATAAAAATAGATGCGCCATTGGATCGCACCATCAATTGCGTGACAAAATGTAACATTACATTCTCGCATAAATGGAAATTAATAATGCATTACGCATTACGCGATACTACCTCGATGATTAGCGACACGATTAATTATCATATGTACATTCAATAGAGATGGGAAACTATCACAGTCACACTAGCGTCGTGGTGTCAGGACGAATACTGCGGAGAAGCGCAACGTTATGTCGTCGTAACGGCAACGTGAAAGACGATTTGTATCCGGCATCGGACCGCGGTGCGTATTACGATATCGCGGTTCGCTGTCACGATGACGTAGCGGCTTGCATCGCGCCATAAATCTTCGCTAACGGAATAATAAAGACCCACCCGTGTACACCTTTCTTTCCGACTCGCGCAGCGAGCGACGGAAGAGCGACGCGAGAGCGGGTGGAAAAGTGCACAGA